AATTAACCAGAATGTTATAAATGGATTTGTTTTCGCACTTAATTAGTGAAACAATATTTAGGTCACAATTAACCAGAATATGACATTTTCACTAAATGGGCACTGGATGACTTCATGGAGATGTTGCTATATGCGGTATTCCTGCCATAATGTAATATCAGTTGCCACCAGCGCGTTTGTAAAATTTGTGTCCACTATTGTTTTTAAAAATAATCTATTAGATATTGGTTTATAAACTCCTTTAATTGAATGTCATTTCCAAGTTTTTCATATAATATATTCAAAGCTTTAAAAAAATGCATGGACACTCAAAATAAGTATCTTTTCTCGAAATGTGTGAACACAAACTAATTATGATGTGTTGTTTTCAGAATGTGTGAACACAAACTAATTATGATGTGTTGTTTTCAGAATGTGTGAACACAAACTAATTATGATGTGTTGTTTTCAGAATGTGTGAACACAAACTAATTATGATGTATTGTTTTCGGAATGTGTGAACACAAACTAATTATGATGCATTGTTTTCAGAGTGTGTGAGCCCAAACTAATTATGATGTATTGTTTTTAGAATGTGTGAACATAGACCAATCATAATGTATTGTTTTCATGCTTATTTTTGACAGTGTTAATTGTAATGGAGTTGTATGTTGTTGTGTTTTTGGAGGACCCCTGGTTGAAATTTTATAGTGAACGACGTTTCGGTTGGCACAGAGACTGAACTGATACTCATCTGTAGACTTCAACTAGGTGTATTCATTTGAACACAGACATAACTTTCTATGGATTTAATTCATTCCTAAACCCGGCATCTCCGTCAGTTTCACGTAAACATGTTAATTAGCAGTTACTACGTTTGTTTATCGTACACTTTCATGTTTCAGTGTTAACATGTGGATAAAATAGCAGGAAAACTTCAAAGTACACCCAAGTTGGCGTGAATAAATAACCTCCAGAGAAGTGGGAAAATTGCGAGCCAAACAAAAAAATCCATTATCACAAAATCCTAACTTCTTAATGTTATAGGAAGACCTTGTAACCAATCTTTCTTACAGCTTCCATCGGACGCCATTGTTATAGGAAGACCTTGTAACCAACCTTTCTTACAGCTTCCATCGGACGCCATTGTTATAGGAAGACCTTGTAACCAACCTTTCTTACAGCTTCCATCGGACACCATTGTTATAGGAAGACCTTGCAGTAGACATTTCTTACAGCTTCCATCGGACGCCATTGTTATAGGAAGACCTTTAACCAATCTTTCTTAGAGCTTCCATCGGACGCCATTGTTATAGGAAGACCTTGCAGCAGACATTTCTTACAGCTTCCATCGGACGCCATTGTTATAGGAAGACCTTGCAGCAAACATTTCTTACAGCTTCCATCGGACGCCATTGTTATAGGAAGACCTTGCATCAGAAATTTCTTACAGCTTCCATCGGACGCCATTGTTATAGGAAGACCTTGCATCAGACATTTCTTACAGCTTCCATCGGACGCCATTGTTATAGGAAGACCTTGCAGCAAACATTTCTTACAGCTTCCATCGGAGAAACTGGTGAAAACAGCTGAGAAAGAATTCCGATACTTTCTATGAAACGACCAGAGTTATGAAGCTTGGAATTAGCTAGGTTTAAGAACAGTTTTATCCCACTCGTACATTAAATTGACCTCGAATCGTCTTATGTTATAACTTCACAAGTAGGAAATGACCAATACAGACATTTTTTTTTCTTTTTAGATATTAACTAGGACGAGCGTGTATATAAAACTATGTTTAATCAACTGTGCTACCAACAGGAAAGTTTCAGTTTTTTTAAAGGTTCATTTTCACTACATATTTTATCGTTCATTCTTTGTTATAGACCATTTCTTTCAAAGGTTTAGTTGCACGTACAGTTGATTTGATAAACGTTTCCTGATGGGTCAGCGGTAAATTTACGGACTTACAGCGTAAAAATTCTGGGTTTGATTTCCTGTGGTGGATAAAGCGTAAATATCGCATTGAGCTAAAACAAAGAGACTAGGTAAATAAATATGTGTGTGTGTGTTGCCTAGAGCCACTTAGGATATTAGTAATTATTTTATATAATCCACCCGCCCCCTTTTTAATATTGAATATGTTCTCAAATTTACATAACCCATATTGAATTACAGAAATGAAAATAGATTTTACGTAACACCTATAATTACCAGTTGTTATTTTTAGTGTAAAAAAAAAATGTTCTTTCAGCCTTCATCTGTTCCTTTATACGTGAACAAGCTAAACAAGAAGCTGGGTGCAATAAGATTGCAAGAAGTGTTATTTTAACTTCCCTTGATACGTGATCAAGCTAAACTAGAAGCTGGGTGCAATAAGAAAGAGTGCAAGAAGTGTTATTTTAACTTCCCTTGATACGTGAACAAGCTAAACAAGAAGCTGGGTGCAATAAGAAAGAGTGCAAGAAGTGTTATTTTAACTTCCCTTGATACGTGAACAAGCTAAACAAGAAGCTGGG